CTTTCAGCAATTTATTAATTCACTAAGCGAGACTACTAAAATCACTAAATTCCAAAATACCTCAAAATCTTAAGATGGCGAAACCCGCTAACCCAAAAACGTCTAAACTCAAAATAGGCCGCGACCATGTTGCCAGTGTAAACCTATTTCGCTAACCACACGTTGCCATACCAAACTCCTACAATGTAAAATTTCGGAACTTGCAAATGTACATAATAGTAAAAAACTTTCATTCTTAGCACTTTTCACCATTTTGAGGAAACACGCTGTACCTATATATAAAATACTAGGTGATTTAGGAAAACCATTGCTGGAGCTTAAGTAGGAAATATTCAAAACAAGGGTTGGAAGGTCGGAATGGTGGTTTGTCGCAACAAGTGGCAATTAAACTTGATCACGTTTTTAAATGAAAAACTAAATTTTTTCAGATGTTTTATAATTAACACGACTGCACAAAAATACTCTAAATCTAAACTAATGTAAATATATACATACATTTTTTACTACTAGCAAAAATACCTATATTTACACATATTTACAAATATGAACAAATGCGTTTTACAACATTATTCGCTTTATTTTGGGGGCGAAATTCCCCAAATGTTTGCAATAATTTCCTCAAATTGTTTCCCAACAATTCCGGTCTCCGGGATCTCATTGGTCATCGTTTCGCTCTTTACTTCCTTAGTGGTCGGTCTTTTACCAGCAAGAAGTTTTCGAGGACGCGCCATAAATCTCCGATTGTGCACCTCTGATGAACTTTCTTTCAAGAGATTATTGTCGTACCCGAAGACGGGAAGTCCAGGATAGGTGGGTTGTACCTCTCTTAGTATATTTCGGACTTTAGCCTGGACAGTCATGGAAGCGTCTTCATTGGCGCATCCTGCAAAATTGAGCTGCTGGAAGGGACTATTTGCATTTAGTTGTGGCAGTTGCAATGGTCCGAGTGGATTCAGGAACGGAGTCAGGGATCCAGAGTTACCCATGACTTGCCATAAGTTTGGAAGGTTGTAAGCGGGAACCTCCTGCTGGTTAAAACCGCATTGGACGCGAATCCGTTGCAGCTCGGCGTAATTGTCACTGCTTTCAGTTTTCACACCGTTTTGGTTGCACCTTTTAACACTTAAATCCAATACTTCTTCATCGAGTTTCTGTTTCTTGGCAAGAGGAGCCCCT